GGGGGGGGGGGACCAGAAAAATGAAGGACATACATGGGAACAGTGCGGTTGATTTGGAGGACTTGGTCGACTTTGAGTAGATTTGAGGTAGGTTCAACCTGTTGGAGGTGTCGTGCGTCGCATGTCCGCCCCACATATGGACTGGACTTGAGGAGTGCCGAGTAACCCGAAGTTTGGGCTAGCTTTGAGGGATCCGTTTGGATGCCTTTTGACCGGGTTATCCGGCCGAGAGCGGGGTTCCGGTTGTACATGTTCTACAGGCTCATTTGCTTTGAGTGGCCAGTAGAATACAGAGACAACAGGAGTAGAAAATCATTGGAAGCCCTTCAAGTGGCGAGTAGAATACTGAGACAACTGGAGTAGCAAATCATTGGAAGCCCATCAAGAACCTTTTCAATATGAACAGGCGGAGGCAAACACAGGAAACACGTGGAAGGTGGACTACACATGATTCCATGAATTCGACCACGACCTTGCCACGACCATCGTTGGACCCTTGAACAGAGAACGGCACCGTCGCCATCGACGCACGCATGGCACAAAGCGATGGATATGCTAATCAAACGAGAGATCCCAATAGTGCTACCACAACATGGACTAAAATAACACGTTGCTATATTCAACACACCTGCTGACACTGGCACCAGCAGCTCGCCGAGCAACCGAAACTTCAGCGAAAGCGTGTCCAAGTGTCGCTAGAAGACTACGGTCTCCAGGCCAGGTCCGTACTCGTTTGCCTGAAAAGAAGTCTCTACTCGTCGTTTGCCGTTCAAGCGTTTTACCGTGGACAGCATGCTTCCCGGTCGTTGGCTACGTGGCTCTGCTTCTGGTTCACACTGGCAACGCTTCTCCTGTTCAACTCAATCTACTCGCCATTGAAATTTTCCTCTCTTTGGTTTCCCATCTGGGAGAAATCTTTAATTCTAGATGCCTTTGGCCTGGGTATATATAGGATATAATATTAATATGTCAGATGACTAGTTGTCATATGAGAATAATATTGTTTTCGGCACATTTCCTTTCTAGCATATGTTTTGTATTTATCATAAATAAACTGTCCTCAAGGATGCTTAACCATTGCATACAACATAATAGCTGCTTTTAACTTGGAATTGCTAAAATCGTTTCCAGAATGAACTAAAATATACATTGAATTATAAGTATCTGAATCAATCCAATCTAGGCTTGTGCATTCTTCCAATCTGAATCAATCCAATCCATTGAATTATAAGTATCCGCCTGAGCCTAGCCTGGCCAAAAACAGAAAACAAATAGTAGCATTCTTTCCATTTAGAAATATCATTTAATCATATTTTTTTGGATATATGAATATATTATTACGCTTATACATCTATTAAGTCCTAGGTTGTGTGTCCACTAGCATTTTACTCAAAGTTAAGGCCACATAGATGGTACACCACTCCGAGTGTGGGGCTACAGGCAACTCCAATGTGGATCATGAAATCGATCGCAAATGTCCTATAATCGAAAGGTTCAGACACTTTTGATCCTCCAACTGTGGTCACCAAATTTGTCTAGACCGGTCCGGACATTTGAAATCTCACGAATTGGGGGTGGTTTGGGAAGTTTGAATGTCTACCACATTGGAATCCTTAGCCCTGGGCCCACCCATAATCTTCTCCTGCCACGTCCGCTTCGGCTTGACTGCATTCACTCCGGCGGACCAGCCTCTTGCCTAATCGCATTCATGGTGGCATGATGACCGAGAAGCCTACTCCCGCTTTACAGCCAGACGGGCTCCTCCTCCGCAAACCCTATCCGCACAATCCTCATCCCCTGGCCGCTGCACAACACCACACCTCCAGCCACCACGACGGCCAAGAAGTCTGGCGCCGAGAAGTGGTCGCCGGCGTGCACTCTGGATCCGGGTGCCACTGTCGAGGGAGAAGGTACCGACATTTGATGAGGAGCAAGCGAAGGAGGATCGTCGTAATGCGCTAGAGGCCGCACATGCAGATCCTACCCGCGATGAGTATCCGGATTGGAATCCCAAAACACACTCCATTATGTGGGATATCCAACATGACTATGTGTTGATCCCGTATGAGAAGGAGGAGTAACCTCGCTCATACAGCTCAAATCGGGGACCACATGCTTCATTTCAGACGACAACGACGACGGCTCGAACAAAGTTGCAGATGGTGACAAAGGTATCGGCGACCTCACCGGATGGATCCTCACCTAGTTTTAGCTGGAATTAATTTAAATTTAGGTTGAATTTGTTTAAATTTCGCCCGTTTGGTTGCAATATACCGAACTTTGTTTAAATTCCATCGTTTTGCTTTTACTTCCATCTGTGTTTGTGCGCGGTCTGTTTTAAATGGTTGAGCCGCGTTGGATGACTTCAGTAGCTCGGTTGGATGTCCGACGTCCCGGCTGCTGTCCGCGGACACGACATTTGGTGATCCGCGTTGAAATTGCACTAAGAAAGAAGTTGAGGCGAACGCTCGCTGTAAAAAAGAAGTTTGGATAAATCGGCATGCCAAGGAATGAAGTGGACGTCCCGGCGGTTGCCAACCGCGAGTGAAGAAGTGCTACTTGTCAGTCGGGCTCCCGCGTGGAACCTTCTCCCCCCGGCTGCCCCCACTCTGCCTACGTGTGCGACGCCATCGCCCCGATCGCGTACCGCGTTGCCGCGAGTAGGCCCATCACTACCTCGTGCTCATTCCGGGCCGGGCTCGCAATAAATGGAAAAAATATATTCGCCCCGGCTTTGACCGTCTCGCCCCTTTTAGCTCCCCTCGCCTATCAGACCGTACGGGTCCATTTGACCACGTGACCCAAATCCGCCACTTGGGCCCCATCCCCCTCCCGCCGCGGCTATATAACCGCGTCCGGACATTTTCCCGACAAACACTTCACCTTCACCAAGCACGCACACAGCGCCCAGCAGCAGCAACTCATCGACGCAGAGCAGAGCAGCGAAGGGGGCCGGCGAGATCGACGCAAATGCAGATGGACTCCTACTACTTCCACGACGACGCCCACTTCTTCGCCGGCTGCGGCGTCCCCGGCTCGCCGGACCTGCCCTTCGCCGACCTCATTGCGTCGCTCTCGGAGCCGCTGCCTGAGGTGGCCAGACAGAGCGCGTTCCGGGAGTACCGCGGCGTCGGGCTGGAGCTTCCGGGCACGGCGCGGGGCGGGACGGGGAACGGGATCAACATCCACCGGAGGATGATGGACGTGCTGGGCAGGATGGGGCCGGCCACCGAGGAGGAGCAGCGGCCGCAGCACCAACAGCAGCAGGCGGCCGGCGCTGTCGAGAGCAGCCGCGGGTTCCGGCACATGATGCGCGAGCGCCAGCGCCGCGAGAAGCTCAGCCAGAGCTACGCCGACCTCCACGCCATGGTCTCCTCCCGTTCCAAGGTACTTCGACCGTCCGCGCCCGCTGTCCTCCCACATTCCATTTCACTGGTGCTCGAATGCCATGTGCTGAATGAACGAGTGATGCCATTGCAGCAGGACAAGAACTCGATCGTGCAGTCCGCGGCCGTCTACATCCACGAGCTCAAGGTCGCCAAGGAGCAGCTCCAGAGGAGGAACGACGAGCTCAAGGCCAAGATCCTGGGGCACGACGCGCAGCAGCAGTGCGTCAAGGTCCAGTTCGAGGTGGACGAGCCCTCGTCCTCCATCGACTCCATGATCGGGGCCCTCACGCGCCTCAAGAGCATGAACGTCAAGACCAGGGGGATCCACTCCATCTTGTCCGGCCAGCGGTTGACGACGGAGATGAATGTCGAAACCACGGTGAGCTAGCTTCATTTTTCTTACCTTAGTCCTCCTACCTGCTTTGTTGACAATAATAAACCGGACTAAACTTTTAAGAAGTTGGAAAAGATACAACAGTTGAGTCACCTGCAAGATTTTTTCGGAATTTCCGTGTTGTTTTAGTACACTACTACATCAACGATATACATTACCAGTACGTCATTGCACTGTTGGATAGGGACTGCATCATCGATACGATAACGATGAGGATTGTAAAATTGATTCAAGAAATGACTGCAATATGTTTTAAATCCTGTGGTTTTATCGAAAGCTACAAAACATCTTGGTTGTGAGAATCCGGATTAAGCCATGTGAGGATCAAAGTATACCATAAAATTGCTGAAAGGGCATATTAATTCATTCCACCGTTTACTCTTTTCATAAAAGTTTGAAACTCGGTCTTTTCTAATACACATCACGAGAAAGCACAGCTTAAAATTTTGAGTAAGACAAATAAAAAATTTGACTATCGTCGAGGAATCTGTGTCAAAAGTTGTGCTAGAAACCCTCTGACTTCTGAAGACATCATTAGAACATATCCTTTGCCAGGTCCCATGTTATAAAATCTGCGGGGCCAATCCTTGTCTAATTAATCTGCATCCGCTGTTACTGTCAGACTAAATAAATTCTGCAGCTACTATTAGGTCAATTCTTTTCGCAAGAATCGAACAATCATGCCCTTTTTAAGTAGTAATCAGCAAATGAATCAAGTCAACGGATCCCCAATCTGAATAATGCAGTGTCGAGCTTAACATTTACTCAAGGTTCAATGCATGATTGATCAGTCTGATGTTATACTATATAGTAAGCCACTTGTACACTCTTAACTAACCACGCTGCTTTCCTCACGTGTCATATTCACAGATTGCGGCTTGCGAGGTAGAAAAGGCAGTGGAGGAGGCTCTCCAGGAAGTAGAGAGGAATCAGCTGCCTGACAGCGAGGCCCCGTTTCCCGGAAGCAGGAGCGCCTGGCCTCAAACATCACACGTGCAAAATGTGTTCTGATCGGTTTCTGACCACAAGGGTCATGAGACCCATCTGTTCATTGTTTTTTCTCCTCTTTTTTTCTCTCCTTTTTTTCTGATGATGGAGCAAGTGAAGATCTTCACATGCCCTTGCCTGCGTACTGGTGGTTGTACTCTCGATCGACCCTCGTGTTTAGTCCTAGTGGGATTTTTTAGGGGCTGTGAAGGTGTAAGTAGCTCTTCAGATGTGTAGGTGGTGAGGTCAACTTGGAATCAAATGGGTTGGAAAAAAATTGAAGAGGATCTACTCGCACGGTTTGGCCTGGCGCTTACGTTTGGCCCTAGCAAGGAAGAGAAAAGGATATGCCAACTTGACAAGGATTACCAAACGTTTGGAAGAAGACGGGCCAGCAAGCCTTGGTTGCTGAGACTGTAAATTTGCATCCACCCAATGTTCGAAATCGAGTATATATTTTTCTCCAAACAGGATCGTTGTGTTTCGAGCAACCTTTTCACTAAAATCTCACTGAAATTTGTTATAGTTGTTGTAAACTGCATTCAAACTTTCTCGTGTTTGTAACCTGGGAACATTGCAAGGAACTCAACTATTCTCGTGTTTGTAATCTGACAACATTGTAAGGAGCTCAACGCGAGAGTTTTCAACAACAAATCTTCACCCCTGGCCATTGTCATCTCGCGCATCCATATCGAGTCTAAAATTTCTGTCACAATGGGTGCCGAATTTGAGTACCATTATGCCCAAAGACTAGGCTCTAGTTAATTTCAGCTTTCTTTTTAGTAATGTTATCATGTCGTGAGAGTAGGCTTTTGGGACAAAATTAACGATGTCAATGTGAAAAAAACTATCCACACCCTCATGTCGCTCCTGCAAGTGACGGGGAGCTAACCCTAGCTGCTGCCGGCCCAGTCCCCTCTCCTTCCTCCCCTCCCCTCACCGCCGCTGAAGTGCGCTGGCGAGCGAAGGCCAATCGGAGTCGGCGGCAGTGGGGTGTTCTCTCCTCCGCACTTGACGGGAGTAGGTACAAAACGGTTCCCCTGAGCGGCGGCGTGGCGCCGTTGGCAGATGGCGGTGGCTCCTGCCTCCTAGCGGCTGCGTGGCGGGCTCCACGGG